GGTGGCACATGAGTGGTGATTCAGACGAGCAGCTGTCAACACATCCGGGGGCACAGACCCACTGTGCTGGGCTGGGGAGAGGCCAGCCCCTGAACTCAGCAGACGGTTTGTGTCCAGTGGCAGCGAGACTGGCAGGATATAGCAAAGATCCAAGGACAAGTGGAAGAAGAGCTGATGCTTTGGTTTTTAAAATTAAATGAATGAATAGTCTTTATAAATGTTCACCCAAAGTGCTTCAAAAAGGGACAGGAGCAACTCTAACCTCACTCTCACCCCACACCCCATCAGTTCAAGCTGAATCAAGAGCAATCCTGTAGGACACCAGAGGATGGATACAATTACCTCAGGTGGATCGAGCATCACCTTCTGGGAGGTGTTTGTCCTCACTGGGTCCCCTTGCCCCTCTTCAAAATGGGGACAGCTGAGTTTGGATTTGCTTTTCTATACTTGAATCCCAAAGACCATCCTTAGAGTAGAAGGATGAGAATGTGGGGAAGGATGGTATCTTTAAATAACAGGGAAGGGAGTCTCTCTGATTAGGAGAATTGGGGAAACGGCCATGTCCCTGGGGTGAGAACGCAGAGCCGGCAGGTGTGGGCTGTGTGTAACTCTATTTTGTCTGGGACAGGAATGGCCTTTATCAGGGGGAAGAGATTTAACAGGTGGCACTCCTGACCACCCTGTGTTGGTCAATCTTGTGTTGATGCTAGATTCTTACCCAAGATTCCTACCAAGTCTCACCTTATAGCTGGTTCCAGGTTTCCCTATTAATCAGGGCAATTGATAAATAAGGAATAAAGTGATCATTCCTTTGGTCATGTCTTGAAATGTGCATGTGAAGCAGCTCAACTGAACACAGCATGTGGAATCAGTCCTCCAGGTGGCCTTCTCTCTTTTGGGGAGTCTGTAATAAGATACAGCTTGGCCAGTTGCGGGAGTCTGTCCTCATCAGTTGGGACAGGCCAGCTCCTCACCCAGGGCCAGGGATGAGGCACCAGCCTTTTGGGCGTGTGTATGCATGAGTGTACATAGAAACTGCCACACCCACACCCCACATACCGTGACTGGGTGGGACCATTTGTTGTTGTTACCTTAACCTTCTCATAATTTTCAGAAATTCTGAGCTTTGGTGGTGCTGGGACATGGCCCAGAAGTGCTCAGCAGACCAAAAGGGCATTTTTCCAACAACAGTTCCTTTATCTGCCCCTCACGTCTGGGCATCCTGGACTCTAACCAGGCCACAGCAATGAATACGATTTCCTAAGGGGAAGTAGAGTCATGTCTAGCCATGTCTAATCTCCAAGCTTGTACTCACAAGCCCTCACCACCTGCCCATAACATCCTCTTCTGGCATTTGCTCAAGCTGCACAAGTTGGTTAGGGAATTTGGGGAGAGAGGTACTCTCATTAACAATGACCTACTAGATCACTGCTTTCCGAAGATAAAATAAAAAACCACAACACTAAGTATTACCCTGAACATTTAATCTCTGGTGCTTCAGAAGACACATTAGAATCCTAAAGGGCCTTAGGGTTGGGTCTTTGACAGTGACCGTGGATCCTTACAGTGCCATGCAGATGCACAAGAGCCCTGGTCCAGGGGAAGCAACAGGGTCTGAGTGGAAGGAGAGTCAGGAGCCCTAGGTCTAGTTTCAGCAGAGTGACCATGGATGAGTCACTTTCCTCCTCCAACAGGTCCCTCCCAGCTCTGATATTCTATGAACAGCCAGCAGAGAGTGTACGGCATTGTGTAGATTTTCCAGCATCGGAACTGAGAGAATTTAAAAACTACCTGCAGTAGTGTGGGCAAGGTATGAAACAGTTCTTTGGTAGTTATCCTCTGTTGGCCCAGCCCTGGGGTCGGTCATGTGCACACTGAGATAGGGAGCAAGAGAGCAGAAAGAATGGCCATGCCAGAGTCGGGGACCACAGCACAGTTTATTATGGAACTTATCAAGCGCAGGAACAAGAATTCTTCCTGTGGAGGTGCAGGTGTGAGTGTGTGGTCACTTATCTTACCTTCTTAGACCCACCAGAGCTGTTCTGCTATCAGTCAACCTAGAGGTTTGGTTGCAGGGATGTGTCCTGCCCTTGGGACTGGTGATACTGAGAAGGCTATGAGTGAAGAGACTACAAACCAACTCCTCTTGGCCCTGGGCCTTATCCAGAAGGCCGGGACTGAGAGAAGTATCCAGCAAAGTACAAACCAGTCACCATCCATTCATAGGGACTCTGGGAGGCACACATTTCATGTGACCCTGCATTTGCCCAGTGTAACTTTTTTTCAAGGCTCTGACACATCCATTGTCCCATTTGACTTTTCTTCTCAGGCTTGGCCACCCCTCTTCACTTAGTTCTGGCTAGGCTGAACTCTACCCAACATAAGAAAATCTCCAACGAGATCAGAGCTCCTTGTGTTACATAAATAGCTTCAGTGATATATACAGACTATAAAACACACACATGCATGTGTACANAGCAAGAGAGCAGAAAGAATGGCCATGCCAGAGTCGGGGACCACAGCACAGTTTATTATGGGACTTATCAAGCCCAGGAACAAGAATTCTTCCTGTGGAGGTGCAGGTGTGAGTGTGTGGTCACTTATCTTACCTTCTCAGACCCACCAGAGCTGTTCTTCTATCAGTCTACCTAGAGGTTTGGTTGCAGGGATGTGTCCTGCCCTTGGGACTGGTGATACTGAGAAGGCTATGAGTGAAGAGACTACAAACCAACTCCTCTTGGCCCTGGGCCTTATCCAGAAGGCCGGGACTGAGAGAAGTATCCAGCAAAGTACAAACCAGTCACCATCCATTCATAGGGACTCTGGGGGACCCACATTTCATGTGACCCTGCATTTGCCCAGTGTAACTTTTTTTCAAGGCTCTGGCACATCCATTGTCCCATTTGACTTTTCTTCTCAGGCTTGGCCACCCCTCTCCACTTAGTTCTGGCTAGGCTGAACTCTACAAAACGAGATCAGAGCTCCTTTTGTTACATAAATAGCTTCAGTGATATATACAGACTATAAAACACACACATGCATGTGTACACACACACGCATGCACTCACTCCTGGAAATCATCTTCAGGATGATCTGTGCAGGCACTCAATGGCACAACCACTCTGAATATAAGCATAAGCCTGGACTCAAATCTCTCCCTCCCCTCACTTCAGAGAGCAGAGAGCATCTGAGAGAAGCCTACCCCTGCCCAAGCCCTGAGCCATGAGGTGGCAAAGGCTCCTCAGTGGAGCCCTGGCTCTCCTCCTGTGTGGCAGGGCAGGTGAGATCTGGCAGGGCGGTGGCTGGGGCTACTCCTTTAACAGTCCCAGCTTCTTCAGAGCCTCCCTTCTGTGTTCATCAGGGACTCCCTTTGGGGAGATCTTGACACTGACACAGGGGGGTCGAGGAAGTTTGTCACGGCTCTGTCCTTGGAAGGACAGGCGCTTAGAACTCTGCCCCTGCTCCAGGTCAGCCAACTTGCCCACCTGGATACCTGCAAAGTCCTTCCCTGTGCCCAAAGAGGCAGGTCGGGGCCGGGAGTTACGCAAGACGCTGGGTGAAATTTTGTCCAAGAGGGAGCCTTTTCCCAGAGAAGTGCTGATTTGGGGGCTGGGGTCTTTCTCAGCTGAGAGGTAGCTGCTCAGCCCCACACCTGAACGCTCCAGAGTGTTGGACTTGAAGTTCATTTGTCTCAGGCCAGGGACATTGCTCTCCTGGAGAGCCAGCCCAGAATCTGGCTTAGGCGGAGTCAGTGGACTATTTACCCTTGGGGTCTTAGGGACAGGAATTGGCATGGATTTGGCAGGGACGAACTTCCCTGGAGAGGATTCCTGGGCAGGAATCAAAACCTTGCCTGGAGGAGACTCCTGAGCTACAGCCAGAGCTGGAGATTTCATTGGCAAAGGTCCCTGAGTTGGAGCAGGAGCAGGAGCAGGAGCTGGAGCTGGAGCTGGAGCTGGAGCCTTCACTGATGAAGGCCCCCGAGCTGGAGCTGGAGCTGGAGCTTTCCCTGTAGCAGGAACAGCCGCTGAGACCTGAGCTGGAACTGCAGGCTGAGC